AGGTACCTATATTTGAAATTAGAATATCAATAAAAATAGAAAATACGAATCAATCATTAAAAGCAGTTTATGATCTAAACCATAAAGTAAAGCGTGCAATGCAATGGAAATATAATAGTTTAATGTTTATTATTATAAATATATATAATATAACTTTTATATTAATAATTATAAGTATAAAAAAAAATGATAATTATAAAAGCATAGCAAATTGTTAATAGACCTTTTTCATTATTTTTTTTACATTCAAGTATATTGTCCATTTTTCATAACAAGCCTTATGTCTTTCACTAGCTAAATGTTTCTTATAACATTCATTTTGTTTTCTCCAGCAACTAAATCCCTTATAGACAAAAACAATACCTGCTGACGTTTCACCATTGAAACACTTATTTACAGATAAATTAATAGACCCAAAATGTATGCATACAAAACAATTCACCATATCTTTTAAAACTGAATATTCAATCCAGGTGTATAATCTATAATTCTGTGAATTGAATGCTCTTTTTTCTTAATTGTACAGCGTTATCAATTCATCATCTTTTGGATTAGATATGCCACAAACCTTTGGAAATCATAATAGTTATTAATTTAATGTAAAACCCTAGGTATACGTTTATTTATATTTTATATAGGTGAATAAAAAAAATATAATACTCTTTGAAAACAATTATACCTGTTTATCATTGAGCAAATTTATTTCTGAATCATTAATTGAGGTATAATTAGATTAATTGTCATCAACTCTTTTATCATCTTTCAAAACATCTGATACAATATCAATATCCTATCCAAATATTTGAAATATTTTTTAATATAATAATAGATGTATAAGTAAATAAAAAGTTGTAATACTCTTTAAGAGCAGTTATACCTGATGATCATTAATCAAATTTGTTTCATTTTGATTTTTTACTTCTGCACTATTAATTGAGGCATAATTAGAATAATTTTCATCGACCCTTTTATCATCTTTTAAAACTTCTGATATAATATCTATATCAATATCCTATCCAAATAATTGAAAAATATTTAAATATAATAAAAGATATTATGATATAAAAAAAGTTGTAATACTCTTTAATAACAGCAGTTACACCTGATTGTCCTGATTATCATTAAGCAAATCTGTATCATTGTCATCATCTTTCAAAACATCAATATCCTGTGTTAGGAACGCTTGCACACACTTTTGATTAGTAAGCATATTAAACAATAATAATATATAGTAGTGTAAGCAATATGTTTTTTTTTTTAAGCGACTGCGTCGCAAAGACAAGAATGTAGAATAAGCAAGAGCCAGTCGTGAATAAGTAACCGGATTCGTACAATACTGTGTCATTAAAATGTTCTTATAATAAACTAATTTCTTTAAAGTTAAACAGATTTTGTGTAGTGTTTGATTTACAACCCGTATGTGAACGAACTCTTACAACAAATATACCTTTCGGACTTAACTGAAAGAGTATATAACACCTGTCCAAATAATTGAAAAATATTATATTATAATAATAGGTATATAGATTATAATTTAAGTAGATTCATTGTCTTATGATAGTGAAGAAAGTATAGGTTAGAATCACTTGCTTGATTTACTGCAATATTTTTTTCAACTTTATTTTCATTTTTGGAAAACATGTTGGTAATTTTTTTACATGATGTGGAGGTTTCAAATAATTTTTTTTATTTATATCCTTCATCCTAGCTGCAACACTTTTTCTTTTATTATTTGTATCTTTCGTCCCAGCTGTGCCATTTTTACTTGTATTATTTGTATCCATCTTAACTATAGTGTAGATTGTAGAACTATAAAATTATCAATTAGTAGTATACTAATATAGTTGAACACTTAAACTTACTACATAAAGATTATAAGCATATAAATTATGAAATACTAGGTAGTAGGTACAASTTAGAAATAAAATATAAATTAAGATACAAAGAAATACAATAACGACTAGGTATGTGATAATAGATAGTAAAGCTAGACGCATAATGTCTGCCTGTAACCTATTACCACAGTTTATATAAAGTATATATTATATTATATTATGTAGTTTTATATAATCTGTGCTATTACCATTAAACGGTAAACTTTAGTGTAAATTTACACTCCGTTGAATAAATTAATACTGTTAACAATAAAATTATCAGTGGCGGCTCGTAGATAGGGGCGATGGGGCGATCGCCCCCCCCTTCTAGAATTATCATTTATTACCAATTTACAAGTTAAATATTAAATTTCTCATTTATATTAGATTCTGAACGAAGTGATGAATGTATTGAATTACAATGATGTGTGTTTTTTTTTTTATGTTTGTTTTTGTGTCTGTGTACAGCATAACTAGTCGAAATAATGCTTCAATTTAAAACTTTGGGGGTGGTTTCCGATGTAAAAGTGAATATCCTTGGTACATTAGAGAGGTCAAAAGTAAACATTTTACAACAGTTTTCAAAAAAATCGAGAAAAACAAAAAAAAATGACAGAAAAAC